AAAGGCGAAATATTTGAGAAAATTGTCAATTGACAATTTGTAGAAAATTGTCTTCAATACACAATAGATTCGCAAATTATTTTTATTATTTATTATACGCATCAAAACTAGCATTTGGCCCATATTAACAAATATCTAAAGATAGTGTGACTGAAATCTAATAATTTAAATACGATATCAATCTCGAGAGCATAGACAGATGAAGATATTTCTGTAACGAGACTACATTCTCTTTATATATTTTTTCTCTCATTTCTTTTCATTCTTTTCTGTGCTTGCTTTACATTTATCGCCGGAATCAAACACATGTAGGTTCTGAGAATGTTTGGAGAATATTGTAAAATATTATCATAAATCGCATATATTCTCTATATATTCGAGATATATTAGGTGTCTCGGTTAATTTCCGTTGTTTTTTGCTTGGAAAATATATTTATTTCAATTACAAAATGAATTGATTAATCAATCAAAATATTTTCCATAGTTTTGTATTTTTCCCATCTAAGAGATAAGAGGTAAGAGACGAATTCCGCGACGATAGACCGACTCAGGTTTTGAAGCAATCCATTCATCTACCCACTTTCGGACTTCATCGTAATTTCGAAAGCGTGTGCTTTGAAGGCCATGCTGCATTGAACGAAACAAGTGATAATCAGACGGGGCCAGGTTTGGAAAATACGCGGCATGCGGAAGAACTTCCCATTCGAGCTTCGTCAGCGATTTCCTGACGACTTTTGCAACATATAGCCGGGCATTGTCGTGCAACAGAATCACTTTCCTTTTGTTGTGTGCGATTTGTGGTCGTTTTTATTCAACACTAGCTTCAACTAGCTGTATAATTGTTGTCGGTATCTGTCAGTCGTAACAGTTTCATTCGGTTTTAAGAGCTCATAATATACAACACCTTCTTGATCCCACCAAATACGGAACAATGTCTTATGACCATGAATATTGCGTTTTGGCGCCAATGTGGATAGTTGGCTTGGGCCTACCCATGATTTTTTGCGTTTAGAATTATCAAAATGGATACACTTTTCATCACCAGTGACAATCCGATACAAAAAACTCTTTTTTTCTATCTACAATCAAAGCAGTGGCGATAAACATACGATTCAGCATATTCGCTTCGGTCAGTTCATGTGGCACCCACTTTCCTTCCTTTTGGATTTTTTTCCATATCATGTAAACTGTCAGAAACTGTCGAAACTGCAATATTTAGTGCCTCAGCCATTTCCTTGAGGGTTTGAGATTAATTTTGGTCCAATAATGCTTATAGTTCGGCATCTTCAAACTTTTTTGACTGGCCTGGACGTTCCTTGTCTTTCACATCTTTCACATCAAAATAACTATTTTTGAATCGTTGAAACCAATCTGTACGCGTTTTTTCTGATAGAGCAGGATTACCATAAATTTCCACTCGATGTACTTCAGCCGCAGTTTTATATCAAATTAGTGGAGGAAAACATATTGAAAAAATAACTTATCACGTCCTATTTTGAACTGATTTAAAAACAATATCATTGCTTGCAAAAATAAACCTTGGTGGACTGAATTCTATTTGGAAAACGTCTAACCTTTAATATAGCATGAGTTCCAGTTGACTCACAGTTGACTATATTTGCAGCTGGAGCCATCTAAATGCGAACAGCGAAAATTAACCGAAGCTACTAATGCACTATATTACACAAAAGACGTACTAAGCGTGTTCAATTTTTTCGTTCTCCCGGTACATACTGAGAACGTCTTCCAGTATGCAGTAAGTATACTGTGAGAAATACAGATAAATCTATATATACATATTCTTCAGTCGTACTGAATACTGATATACTGAATATAAACATATTCTTTAACAATCGATATAATGTATGTCTCAGATATGTAAGGGACATTTTTTGCAATTTATGTTTGCGACATCCTCCGGACATTCTCAGAACCTACATATGTTGTTAGGGCACTTGCACGACAGAGAATTGGCTCGACTGATCGAAACGAGAATCCGCATTTAAGTGACATATAACATTGCTACAATGGTAATATCGTGATTCCTCCATAGACACTTATGCGAGGTATCTGTGACACCGTTCAGTAGGGAAACCGGGTCAAATTGGCAATTAAGCGCCGTGTTGGCCATGCATTTTATTTATGTATCTATAAAAGGAACAATGGCCGTTGAGAAAAGATTGCATATAATTATATAAAATCATACATAATTATACACAAATTATATATTATTATATGATTATTATATGATTATATGATTCATGTATAAATTTCACTTCTATATGTGGCCATGTATGAAATCATGGAAATTATATATGTCCACATTGAAAAGAAATGCTGTTAAATGAAGAGAAGATTAGATTATTTTCTTCAATTGTACGTCTACATTGCGAGCTACCATGAACACAAGCAATTTACTTTAATTGTATTTGTAATGTTTGAATCTGAAAATGCTCCTTTTAGAAACGAGTACTTTCCTTATGTTCTAAAGAAATTTATGTTCCAAAAAAGAAAAAATAAAAATCTTTTGTTCTTTCTAAAAAATATGAAATCGCATGGCCGACACAACCCGTCCTGTCTTGCTATATCCCGAACGCTATGTAAGTCTAAATTCTACGTTTATTTGGCAATCGTACGAAGTGAAATGTGACGGGAGAGAGGAAAGAGGGAAAAGTCCGCGATTTCATCTACGCACATTGGTCCCTTTCCACAACTTTCATGCGGTATATCGTTATGAGCGATCCTTGGCATCTACCAATATCGCAGTAACAGTACCTGACTGCATGTAACAATTATAGGCTAAGATTCCGAAGGTGAACGATTGTTCCCAAAAAAGTTGCGCAACTTGATATCCCACGATACTGATGATAAGGCGAGGCGGACGGCGTGCGCGCGCGCACAGTGACAGTTTAACCATTGATTGGTTGAAAGTTGGCCGAAATGATATCGCAAACGATACAGTTTCATATCTGAGAAAGTCGCTCAAATTTCACGTCTTACATGTGATATTCTCAAGCGTGAACGTATCTTTGCGTATCAATGCCTGCACACAGGTCGACATAATAACCTTAATATCTCAGACGGCGTAAACTTCTGAAAGAAGTCTTAAAATACGTACTACTTCTTTTCTCTTAAACGTCTTTAAATGTTTGTTTTTTTTTTTGAGTTTACGCTGTCTGCGATGTCAATAGTCACCAGTGATCGGTACTATAACACCACATTTCGTTAAGTTACGTACAACACCCAATTAACATCATCTACAAACTTCTTGTACGGCCAATGTAATGGAATAAAAAATGTGTGCGTCTCGGATTATTTCTTCGCTGCATCTTCACCTGGATAGCACGAAACATCCAGAAATCATCCTGAATGTGTTCAGGACGTCGTAAGGCACTTCCCAGAACCCCCTGGGCACAATCGAGACGATTACTCTAGGATATCTCTCTACGAAAAAATTTCTCGAAATTTTACCAGATATACAAAAAGAGTATAAATTCCAGGCAAAATGTCCCAAAGTTGATTTCCCATCATAATACCATTAAGAATTTTGTTATTTTTATATATATATATATATATATATATATAAAATACGAGTTTTCACATTCATAATAAATAAAACTAATGCAAATTTGCGTTCTTTCGACGAATAAAATCTATACCTGCATAAAAATGAATAAAGAATCTCACTTTTATACCAATATATCAGGTTGGCAACAAAGTCATGTCGTTTCTCACGGATAAATGGCTTTGCTTGTCATTAAACGCAACTTACTTCCAAATCCTATAACCTTTATATCATTTGACAGCTGATATTTCAAGCTTTTTAAACAAAAAGAAGTGTGTCATTCGGTAAAGAATTGTTTATTTGGTATTAGATTAAAATTGGAAAATCAAAACGAGCATTTCCGCCATATTTTGTTTACTTCCAAAAAGGAAAGAACGCTGTACAAGCCCGTCAAAAGTTATGTGCTGTGTATGATGAAGAATCCTTAACAGGACGCCAATGTCAGCGTTGGTTTGCTCGTTTTTATTCAGGAGATTTTTCTATGGAAGATGCATCACGGACAGGTCGGCCAATTGAGGTCGATGACGACAAAATAAAAGCATTGCTTCCCATATAGCACGGCAGAAGTTGCAGCAATATTGCAACATTGTTGCAACGCATAGAAGTTGCAGCAACATTGCTGCAACTTCTATGCTGTATAAGTTGAATTCAACCGCCATTATACATACATCGTTGGTCACCAACCAGAAATTGTTGTCCCACCTTGGGTGGCAGGTGTTACCACATCTACTATACTCGCCTGACTTGCACCATCAGATCACCATTTATTTCGTTCTTTGCAAAATTCTTTGAGAGGAAAAAATTCAATTCTGATCAGGCTACCAAACGGTACTTGGATTAGTTTTTTGTCGATAAGGACCAGAAATTCTGTGAGGCCAGAATCATGAAGCTACCAAACAAATGGCAAAAGGTCATTGAATTAAAGGGGCAATATATGACAGGATAAAGTTTTTGCTTTGTATGAAAAAATTGTTTTTCATTTACACAGAAAAAACGATATGACTTTCTTGCCAGTCTGATGTAAAACTTGTTGACGACTGTACAACTTGTTAAAACTCGTAAACATTGTTGAACATTTATATTTTCTTTATATTCATGTTTGAAAAATAAGTTTTTAATAAGTATTTCATGTGTTCTGTGCAATCCTGATGTAGAGAAGAAACTGATGTAGAAAAATATTCGGAAAGAAACACGTTGAAGGATAAATGGAATTTGTTTAACTTTTCTGTTTGAAGTTTCACACTTCTAATTTGGAATCCACGTAGACTTCCCAATCAGATCTACAATTGTCTTGAGAAAAAGGACTGGATCCTGATTAAATTCTACGAAACTTTCCATGTGGATCGTACTGTTCGGATAGTAATTCGATCACCAGTTAAACCTTCGCACAGTCGTGATGAAAATAAGCCGGTTAACGTGTAAACATACGAACCTGTAACTTTGCAGAACATATATTTCATATTGTATGCAATAAAATGTTATAGCTCTTGTGTGTTACATTACGCTAATACTAAAATATTATACTTCACGCGATTGCGGCTATTAACCCGTCTGTGCACTATGCGACCATAGTGAAAACCTTGCTGCCGCCGTTGGCCGCATCGATCGATTTCTGGCGACTCGCAAACGCAACGCGAATATTAGGTGGTTCATCGTATACGAATATCGTATACGAATATCGAAATGTATCCTACACAACCGCGAACTTTCCGCTCCGCGAACATCCCTATCGCACCGCTTCGAACCAAAAAGAGATTATCGTTGTTGTCGTCGTCGTGCATAACCGATAATCTTTTAGGGCCGGTGTTACGTACGTTATGTAACAATGTCCACCTGACTGCTGGCATCCTAGAAAAATAGTACACTATATGTCGATCTGTCGCGATTGCGTGTGATAATGCGATAAATCGCGCACAACTGAATATTCTCACGTCGATAACGACGCAAACGCAAAATCCACTCGGGTCTCGGGTGGCTTGCCTCAAGTTTATACTTTCACGTTGGTTTTCGGAGTTTAGCGGTTATAATCATACTTTCACATTCTCTGCTAGGCTATATAAAATATATCATGTGTGTTGTATCTCGTGTCATATGTACGTGCATTTAAAACGCAATTAAAACTAATTAACGCGGTGCTTGACGATAACCACGTCGTAGTAATGAACCACGCTGTCCATGTGGTTCCTAAGGATATCTCGTCGATTCCCGAAAAGTCTGAGAAATGTAACCTCGTAATTGTCGTCCGAGGAATAAATATAAGAGAATAATTCAGAAGCAGACGAGAAGAAGTACGGAATGCAAATTGAAGGCACTCCCGGCGAAAACGCATCGATCGAACGCGACGATGGACGTAAAATGGTGTATATACTATGTTGGCTTTAAGCTTTACATTGTTGCCAGGAAGAACGATTCGAGTAGTTCTTGCGCGACATTCGACGTTGCAGTCGCGATCGCGACTCGCAGGAAGTTCCGCCGCGTCTTGCGTGTAGGAAGACACACTAGGAATGTAAAGAAATTGCACTAATCCCTAAAAATACATTTCTGATCTCTCCGTGACTTAGACATAAGGACACGTAATGATCGTTACTATACTTTATGGTACCCATGCAATCCTTTTTTATGATATAAAGATGATACGGAGAGATAGATGTCTCATAAAGGACAAGATTATTGAGTCTCATAAAGGAGAATTGTAAGAATGAAAAAAAAAAAGACAAGAAGAATAGATCTGTGTTGGCGCTTGTAAAAGATTCTTCCTGTAATCTAGAATCCAATTCGAGATTTTGCATTTTTTAATTTCTCGGAATTGACAGAACTTAATTTTTCGAAAGAATGGTCAGTACAAGTCCCGACCCACAACGGGCGTAGTGAACCTTTAGCTTTTTGCTCCGAACCCCATAATTTTTGGTAAAAGGCATTTTCTCCATATATTAACAGTTGGAACTTGGTCAACTTGTTTAGCACGAAACGCTTTTGGCTAAAAATTACGTCATAGTTCTTGGCTAAAAGTAGAAGGCTAAAGGCTTAACACACCCATTATGTATCGAGATTGATACACGCATTATATATCGAGATTAAGGATTAATTTTTAATGGGCCATCAAACGGATTTATGCTGTTTCAATAAAGCGAATAAATCTAAGAACGTTGTATATGCAGCATTGCCTGAAGACGTTGCACTTCTTTCATTAATTCGCGATTTGTGTCCTCCAGAGCATTCACTTTACTTTTGTATGATGAATTCTCGCTGCTTAATATGCTGACTCGCCTCTCTAAGTTGTCCATATATTCCTTCTTTTTTCTCCGTGATTCTTGTGCCGATATCTATAAAATATATCACGGAAATAAAGATTATTTACATTTATGCTTATATTTATGCTTATACTTATGCACATAGAACAATCCTTTGTCTTTTATCAACATGTTTCTCAAATCAGGGATTAATAAATTATTATCTTGATTTATTCAAAATGAATTAAGTATCATTTACTATGATCTTTAATTCTCTAAATTTATTTCAGATTTCTAAGTTTATTTTAAATAATTGCTTAATTGAATTTTTAAAAAAGAAAAAATCAAATGGTGCGCAAATTTTGCATGCAGTGCAACTTTCGACGGTTTTCTATGGGGACAGGTTAAATATATATTTACATATCGATAAGTTATTAGTGTATAGTTATTTAGTTAGATATCTAGCATCAAATATAGATACGCTTGAATTTTCTACTGCTTTATAAAACGTATATATATAAACGTTTTTACAATAAAATTAAGCACTGTATTTTTAGCCCTTTATTATAAATAAGAGAAGAAATAAAAGAAGAAAAAAATCAAATAAAAAGTTTTTCTATTCAATTAACATGTTTTCACACTTACCATAATGTTTTCACGAGACATTTTTACTATATAAAAAGGATTTTTCTTTACATGCATAAGCGCGCAACTTTTAACGTGATGTACTTACCTTATTCTTGATTTTTCTCCGTATCTTTTTCAAGGATTTCTCCTCCTGTTTACTCAGAGGAAGCTTCGTAGGTACGGGATATCCTTCGGCTATCAAGGTCCTCTTTTCTTCCTCCGTCAATGTCAACATTCCTGTTGATCCCTTCTGTAACGTCGATCGCACACAAGTGTATCACGTTAATATATCAGATAGATAGTTTTAGATAATAAAATTGGATCATCGCGCTGTGGATGAGGCAAGCGACGACAAGAATAAAACGTTCGTTGCATTAAAATTCCACGCATAAAAAATAATGTTAATTTTGTTCGCGAAGGCCCGGTAACCTTGTTGGTGTAACGGTATGCAAAATCGCGCGCATTAACATTATACAAATGATCATTATGTAAATCAGTAACGGTTTATCTTTTTAGGTTGAAAAATAGTTTTCAAAAATTATTGTACATGAAATCGTAAAATCGTATCGTCCGAACACATAAATAACTTAAAATAACAAGCTCGAGAGTCGGTCATAGCATAAAAATTTCTCCTCGCTATGAAATCGCTCGTCAATACTGCTCAGAAACCAAGGATAACGTATGTAGGATCGAGAAAAATATAACAAATAACAAGAAAACACGTGTGAAAAAATATATGAAAACCATTTTAAATAAGAATTATAAAGATATTGAAAAAAATTAAAAATAAGTGAGATTATCTATCACAATTATCTTTACTCGCAAATCGATTGCGAATTCTCGCAAAAATGTATCTCCTCATTTTTTTTCTGTTTACCGTGCTATTTATTTGTAATTCATTGCGTGGGTCGCATTAATACATCCGCTTGATGATAATCAGCGCGCAATTATCGATGGCAAACTTGATCGCGTCTTACCGGTTGGCAGGAAATCAGGGGTGTATGAATAGGCTGCCTGGTGGTGTGGGTGGTGTTGGTAGTGACATAAAGCCTTGACGGCGCCAGTAATCCTTTGAGATTCTGCACGTGCGTAGAGATCTGAGAATCTCGACGTTCCGGCGAGCAGGAAGCGGAAGCGGCACCTTCACTGTCAGAGCTTGCGCTGCTTGGTGGTGTAGGTGGCAACCCTTGCCGCGAAGCGTGCAAGATTGTCCCTTTCTCCTCGTCGACCACATTGCTGTTCTCGACGTCCATAGGCTGGAAGCAAACAATTGCGGCGGTCAGCAGTGGATACTCGCGTATATAGTTGAATCAAATTATCGGAGCGTAACGTGTCTGAGTCCCTATTGAATTCTATTTGTGTTCCTAATTTTACATATTAGAAGAATACTAGAAAACTACCGCACTTTGAAACGTTTGCAATAAAAGAATTACTATATTTTGAGATTTGCGATTAAATTCAGTGTTACGTTCACGACTATCATTTACGTTCTCGTCTATTGTCTTCTTTTGCTCATGCTAGAGTGGACAGCCTGTGTCTTCAAGTAAATGGAATCGTGGAGTATGTCCTGATATGAGCAATATGAGCGATGAAGCAAATAAAACGTGATAAAACTGGCGTGAATAAAAGTTAATATAATGTCAACATGATTTTATCTCACGAAAAATCTGTATCGCACGGTATTGTTTCACATAGATTAATATACCGTATAGCATTCTTCGTCTTCCTCCTCACTGTCGCTCGTGTGTGGCAGTCGGGTGTTCGGGTGAAGACTTTGAGGCGACACCATTGTTATCGTGCTCTTATCGTCAATTGTGTCGCAACTCGGCTGACAAGGCGCGCAAGGACTGGACGGCTCGCTAATGGGCTCGTCCTTGATTTCGGGACAGTTTTCGTTGTCTTCAGGTACTAGACTGCTCTTCGTGAGGATTGAGGTCGAGGTAGAGGACGATGTGAGCGAGGATGACGGTTCACCACGGTTTGAGGTGGTGTTCATCGAGATAGTCGGATAATACTCCTCCTCCATTTCTGAAATGAAGCAAATTATTAATAGAACAAAAGAGGGAAGAACACTTATCGGCCAGATATTATGTTTATACAAAAATTACAAGATAAGTGTAACATGATATTTAAGGTTTTCGTGATGTGGAAAAATTCCGGCTTCCGATTGATTAAAAATTGATTTGAGCGATCTCGATATTTTTGGAGATCTAAGAATTAGTCCATTTCACGCTGTTAAAAACAGAAAGAAAAAATCTCGAAATTCCACGTAAACGAAATCGGCATCTTATGCTTTTAATCATTACGAAATAAGGAGAAACTATCAAGTTGGCAACAAAGTCATGTTATTTTTCATAAATAAATGGCTTTATTTGTTATTAAACGCAACTAACTTCACTGTAAATCTTATAACCTTCATATCATTTGACAGCTGACACTTCAAGCTTTCTTAAAAAAAAAAAAAAAAGCGTCATTCGGTAAAGAATTGTTTGTTTAGCATTGAGTTAAAAATGAAAAATCAAAACGAGGATTTCTGTCATATTTTACTTTTTTACTTCCACAAAAGGAAGAACGCTATGCAAGCCCGTCAAAAGTTATATGTCTATAGTGAAGAATCCTTAACAAAACGCCAGTATCAGCGTTGGTTTGCTTATTTTCGTTTGGGAGATCTTTTTGTGAAAAATGCACTAAGGTCAGGCCGGCCAATTGAGGTCGATGACGACAAAATAAAAGTATTACTTGAATCCAATCGCCATTATATGACATGGGAGATCGCTGAGAAGCTAAACATATCACATAAAAACTTAAGGGAGAGAAGAATCCTGGTGTAGAGGATCGGGAAAATCGATTTTTTTTTTGCTAAATCGCTAGTTTTCGATCTGTAGAATGTACTGCTAGATCCCTAGTTGCATATTCGAGGTATTATTTGTTTTTTGGAACACATTTTGCGCGCAGCACAGAGCACAGCAAAGCGCCCGGTGTGGCCGCACTAAAGTCTTTTGTATCGATATCCTTTGCTTAGCAGGCTCAATGATGTTATAAGCAGCAGATATTTCTGAAGCGTTTGGGTAAGAATTCTTATATCTACTCGGGGGAATAACTGTAAAAATAGTTAAATAGTTGAGATCGCCGCTTTTATTACTGCAGGCATCTTCAACGAAGACTACTATGCAGTTCTGAAGATTATAGAAACCCTGATATCAAATTTGATATCAAAATTGGACCGACATGCAAAACGTTCGCTGATAGCATCGACCTTGGCTGCACAAAACGACAAAAACATCGCAGCCTAAGCAGCACTAAATGCTCAATTGGCTCGAAAATAGCAATTAATCGAACAAAACGAGATGTATGAAAAAGCTGACGGCTTGTTATATGGTCCTGGAATAGTGAATTAATGAAAAATTGAGGTAAGATTTCAAAAACTCAGTTTTTCCTAGTATCTTTCCATATCGAAAACTATTATTGCGTTTTTCTTAACATCACGTTTTCAGAATTGGCGTGATTATTTTAAAACTATTTAACCAATCAACTTGCCCTTGTGCATACAAACAGCTAACATGTGTCATTTGTCGGTGAACCTATCCGATCCAACAAAAAATTTGTTTAAATAATATTTTTTTAAATAGAAACGAACGAATTTTTAGGGTAAAAATTATATTTTTTCTTTTTTAGTCCGCCGTTTTGTTAATTTCCGACCTTTTAAAAATATTTTAGGTTCGAAGTGACGAACTATGAGTAATGGAAACCTCTTTAGCTTTTCTGTTTTAGATACTCCTGCGAAGAGATATTACTATCGCCGATTTGCATCTAAATTTTGGACACTTTGGACATCCGCCCTTATATTCGAAATTGCAATATTTCGAAAATATTGCAATTTCTGTACTCAAAAAAATTTGATTGCATACTTCAAATATAGTACAATATATCCCCAATATCTCAAAAGATTTATTGTTTTTATTACGCATAAAAAAAAATTGCTAAGAACATCCTTGTTTTTAGACTTTTGCACCAGGATCCCCCCTTAAAACAACTTGGATATGTCAACAAACTCGATATTTAAGTTCCACACGAGCTCAAAGAAATTCATCTCACCAAATGCATCAATATCAGCAACTTTTTCTTGAAACGTGAATAAAACGATTCGTTTTAGAAACGAATGTTAACTGGCGATGAGAAATGGATTGTTTATGACAATGTGGAACGAAAAAGTTCGTGAAGCAAACGTGATGAGTCGCTACAAAGCACTTCTAAAGCAGACATTCACCAAAAGAAGATTTTGCTATCTGTTCGGTCGAAATTACAACGGTATTATATTTTTTGAACTGTTTAAACGCAATCAAACGACTGATTCGGAATTGTACTGTCGTCAATTAGACAAATTACACGAAACAATCAAGCAGAAGCGCTCAGAACTGGTGAATCGTAAAGGTGTTGTCTTTCACCATGACAACGTTAAGCTACATATATCGTGGGTATCCGCCAGAAATTGTTACAGCTTGGGTGGGATGTGTTACCACACCCATCATATTCGCTTGACCTTGACCATTAGATTACTATTTATTTCATTCCTTGCAAAATTCTTTGAGGGGAAAAAATTCGATTTTCATGAGGTTATCAAACGGTATTTGGATCAGTTTTTTACTGATAAGGACCAGAAGTTCTATAAGGCCGGAATCATGAAGCTACCACAGATAGAACAGATGGCAAAAGGTAACTGAATTAAACAGACAATATATTACAGGATAAAGTTTTGCTTTGTATAATCTTGTAAAAATCGCTTTTCACTTACATAGAAGAAAACAACAATGACTTTCTTGCCAGCCTGATATTAATAATAAAATAAATGAGGTTAGTTTTTACTTCAAGTTGACTACAAGTTGGAATCGCGTTTTTCGTGAACTTCCATAACGCCCTTATAGAAAAGGATTAGTGTAATAAATTCGCCAGTGATAATTATTATTATTACTCAGACGAGTACTAAAATTACTGAACAACAATAATTTATCACTGGCTAATTTATTACAGCCAATAATACTTTTCTATAAGAGTGTTTCGTGAATATTTCGGTTCTCTTTATCAGGAAGAAGAATGACCTAGAATGAGTCACTCTTTCATAGATATTACATAGGTAGCTGTATGCATAAATATTTATATGCTGTAATATAAGTGATCTTACCGTCGTCCCTGCTCCGAAGAAGTTCGAGAGGTTTCTGATCTAAGTTGTGGATAAAATCGATGCAGGCAGCTGTGTTCGCCGTGGTTGAATCAACTGTACCCGAGGATGAGCCCGAGTTGGGCGTGTGAGGACTACCTCCCGGCGTAGCCGGGCTTGGAGGAGGACTGGAAATCAGAAGGCTGTAACTATGCTCAGATTTGATCGGCCGAGGTCCACCTAGAGCCGCGTCTGTCATTAAACGGTCTCTCAAGACCACGTCGTCATTCTGGACATACAGAACATTGTTCCACTCTTCTTCTTTAGTATTCATTAAGATATCCTGAGGCAGCGTCTGTAATGAGAGCGAAAGTTCGTTCGAATTTTAGAAAAGACATCATCTCGATTTTTGGATTTGAAAAATAAAGCAATATCAAGAGATCGCACTATGATATGGCAGACACACTAATCTCTTTCAAAGTCATTAGAAAACTGACTGTCTTCTTGATGAAGTTTTCTGCATGAAGTTTTCACGACATGGAAAAATGCTAGGCTTGGCTTCCGGGTTGAGCCACGATTCTCGTGGATTCGTTTTCAGCGTTTCATGAATGTTTCAGATCGTTTTATCAGAAAAAGGGATATTTTCTCATTATAAGGGGTTATTATTTCATTATATTTCATTATATAATTTCCATGTTGGATCTCTTCATTGGACAATACAGACTTTTAGGATAAATATTATTTGAGTTTTAGAAAAATATATTTCTACTTGATGAAGTCTTGGAATAAAAAAATAAACTATCAAGAGAATCGCTATAAGGCAGAGAAGAGACATTTTTTGTAAATTCTAGGTAATTCTAGCTAATTAATATAATTAAAATACACACAAATATAGAAACATATCGTAAAGATTCTGATGGCAAACTGCTAGCCAAAATGGCTGCGTTCAATACAAGTGAGTATAGTGAGTGCCCAGTGATTATCGCTTTTAATTAAAGTACATTCTTCTGGATCTATCAAGGATTTAAAAGTATACTCCAATCACAGGCGATAATTATCAAGCATTCATGAAGCCATTGCTTCTGCTAAACGCAAGTAAAAACAGACTACAAGAATATAACATTATCGATTATTAACGATTAATAATTATTAATTGATCATTAATTGTTGTAATTCGAGATGTCTATGTAATTGATCGTCAGAGCCTTTGCACGTAGAAAATCCGCAACCGTAGCCGCAAAGTCATAAGTTTCCAACACGTAGTTGTACAAATGGAACAACGCAAGTGAAAAACTATAACCGTAAGACCGTAACCGTAATCGCAAAATTTCCACGTTACGTTGGAATTTTACGACTGACGCCTTACGGCTGACCGATAGAAAAATCCATGCAAAATAACCTATATTTTACTCGGCGGTAATTTCGTTTGTTAGAGGTTTTTTTTCGTAAACGTAGGCAAACATCGAGAACTGAGTTGCATCTTGAATGTTATCTCGTTCAGATCATATGTGAATACTTTTAGCTTCAGTTTATTAGGTTAGAGTTTTGTGCGCATGCGTACATTGGGGTACTAAGAACGGATAGCAGATTTTACGATTACAGCTTTACGGTTACGGGTTACGGATTTTCTATATGCAAAAGTCTTTACTTTTCCATTGGGAGGGAAGGGGGAAGGGAGAGTTTCACATATGAACTCCAAAATAATCGACGACTCTTCCCAGGAATTCGACGTCGCATGTGACTGCTGTTCAGCTGGCGAAACGACGGAAACGTGGATCACGCAGCGATCCCGTCCCACGCGAAATTTCACCGGTCGCGCGACGACGTACGACGACATGCGGCGTCGCGAGTCAATGAGCACGAGAGAAACAGCACGTTCGAGGATTGTCAATGGCCGCCACCGCCGCCACCGCCGCCGCCGCCGCCGCCGCCGCCACCGGTGTTCGTCCTCGTCGTCGTCGTCGTCGTCTCGCGGCTAGGTGTCAAGGACCCCGCTTCTAAAATTATACGCGAGCGTTCCGCGAGCGGTCACGCCGGCAACGTGTCGTAAGCGAAGGAGAAGGGTGCTCAAGTCGAGCGGTCAAGTTGAAGGTCGGCCGTTACCCGAGTCCAAAGGTAGCAACGACTTGACGCCCTTCTGCCTTGCCCGGCGACCCAGCAATGCGGAACCCGCGCTGTCAAGGTCAAAGGCGCGTCTCTCTTCGTCTTCTGCTAACGACTTGCTGTTGCTACCGAGCGCACGTGGCGACGTTCAGCTCGGCGTCGCCGTCTCTTCGGCATCTTCTCGTCTGGTCGCGCGTTTTTCTCTTCCGTGTTGCTCCGTTATGCGCAGCTCGGAAAGCAGCCTGAGACGGAGCTGAGCGAGCTGCGGAATAATGTTTGGCCGACTCGAGCGATGTGTTTGTTTGCTCGTTTGTCGTCGCGTGTTAACGCCTGCTCAATGAAGACACTCGACCCGGGGGGAGGATGTGAGAGGTGTGGTCGAGGAGTTTCCGTCGCAGTCGTGTGCTCGACTACGTCGTTTCCTCCATTCCGATCGATCGTTTCTTCAGAACAAGCGTCTTCCCGCTTTTAACGTGATCGCGCAATTGTGCGTCTCCTCCTTCTCCTTTTCCGTCCCTCGCCGAGCGCGGTCGAGCTTCGATTCATCATTCCGCTGTTTACCTCTGCTCCTCGATCCTGCGACGCTTCCTCTTTCTCATATATGCCGCTTTGGACGAGAATGCAGCAATTTTCCGCAAGCGGGTAATTAGTTGCAATAAAGCCATCAGTACACAACAACGCGGAACACAGCCTCGAACTCTGCGAGTCGCCTGTGCTTTACCAGCCATCATTATTGTTCGCGTTTTTCCACGGAGATTCGTCTTCATTGTCTTCGACGCGACGTCGATTCGATCGATGAACTTTATGTTACGCTGGAAAGCTCAGCGCCCGGGTGAAAAAAGAGAAATGAAAGTGGGTACTTTAGACGCCATATTTTTTCTATCTAGTGAATTTCGATCAGTTTTCTATGATCCTTACTGCAAACGTTAGCTTCATCAACGCCGATAAACTCAGCGTGGAGCTCATTATCACATATCTTTACGCCTGGACTCTGGTCTCGCTGAACGTAACTAATAATTGCAGCTCAAGGAGAACACGATAGACTGCTTGTACTTTTTCCTCTATATATATCTCACTCCATTTTCTCTCATTTCAAGTCATGTAAATCTTCCAGTAAAATATCGGCAATGTTTGATCTTATCTGGATAAAACTATATAGATGATTATCTAGATGGTTTAGTTATGTTTAAATAGATAATATAAATATACAGAGTGTCCGGGATTTTTTGGAAACGAAAAATTGTGAATATTAATCAAATCAAACTGATAAGAAAAGTCATGTACCATTTTGTAAAATTGCAAAATGCTTAGTTAGTAATGATTAAATAACCTAACCACATATATAGATTCTTTTAATTAATAACTTGAAAATTGCGTACTTATTTGCAAAATGGTAAAAGACTTTTTTGTTCAGAATGACCTAACCTACAATTATATGACGGCTATTGTGTCTAACGATAGATACAAGTATATTGAACTTTGAACCCTGAATCTTGAACCTGTCGCTAAACGCAACAGCCGTCACATAATTGTAGATTACGTCATTCTGAACAAAAACGTCCTTTACGATTTTGCAAATAAGTACGCAAATTTTCAAGTTATCAATTAAAAGAGCCTCTAGATGTGGTTATTTTCAATTATTAATTATCAATTAAAAGAGCCTCTAGATGTGGTTATTTTCTATCATTAATAACTTGATAACTATTATGGTTTTTGTAAAATGGTACTTGACTTTTCTTTTCAGTTCGATCTGATTAATCTTCACAATTTTTCGTTCCCAAAAGATCCCGGACACTCTGTGTATTATTTTCATCTGCATCCTCTTAAGACAAGAAGTATTATTTTTACAAAACTACTTAAATGACGTTGATAGATAATTTAATCTACATTGTTGCAAATGTATAAATAGCACTTGCTATTATCTAGATTCAATTATATGGATTTGTGCAAGTTCTGTAATTATTATTGCCTAGCAGTTTATTTTTGTATTCCTTTTTATCACACGATTTCTCCCGTAAATAAACAAATAGATAATAATACAAACAAAGTTCTGAAACTAACCTCATACACACACATATATATACACACACACTTTATCTACAGATAATATAATTATATATTATCTTCATTTGCATCTCTTAAATTGAAAATAGCGTTGTTTTACAAAATTATCTAAAAAGACGTTCATAAGTAATTTAACCTACATCGCTGCGGACATGTAAAATATTAAAACATTTGTTTCTACATCGCAGACGTTTGCGTAAATACACATCAGACAGCACTGTGACTGAAACTGCATCGGGTTTCCCCGATAGAACCAGGATAAAAGCGCTAAGAGGAATTGCGTGTTTTTCATCTTTATCTAACATTCTTATCTTTATCTAGCAAATTTAAGAGTCATTTAATCGCAGCGCACTGAGAGTATAAGGTTCGCTAGGCTCAACTAATTCAATTCGACCCGCCTTTTTCTCCTTCTTTCCTCCACAGCTTACATCAGTGGCCATCTCGGAGGAGCCGGAGGATGACTCGACGATGAAACGCGTTTAGCCGGCCGACGTAGCAGCAGGAAGAAAAAGAATCGCTGTACACGAGCGAGATCGAGCAAAGTAGCATTCTCGCTTGACCGGCTAAACTGGTCGAAAATACGCTCGAGTCATTCCCGATCGCGGAGAGCTGATCTGGCATCCGGCTGTATGAGCGTGTCCGTTCGGCCGCGGCAATGCGGAACTCAACTCGCAAGGTCACGACACGCACCACTCTTCCTTTCCGGCTGCTTCTTCTCCTTCCTCGCGTGGATCTTCTCCTCGTCTTTTTGCCCTTCTGCTTCCCCGTTATACTCGACCGTTCGCGCGGCGGCCGACGCTTATCCTCCCCCCTCGTTCTCTCTACGTCTCGTTTCCGGCGGAAACGTATCACCAGCGACAAACTCGGGCGACGGTCTTCTAATCTTGTCTTGTGCAAATTAAGACGGGGGAAACGCGCATGTGTCTTCCCCCCTTCTCCTCTTATCGGCTCTTCTCGACCTCGCTCGATATCATCTTTTCCGGCGCTACTTTTTTTGTTTTTTTCTCTTTCTTTTTTTTCTCTTTTTTGCCGCCGGTATCATATTCTCTTCCGTCTGCAATTTCAGATTTGTTCTCTTTTTTATGCTCAGTCGTCGCTTATCTCTTACGTTCGAATTTCATAACACGATGTTTTCGCGAACGCCAGAAATTTGCGCGCGATATGTAGCGAGTAGTGACTCATTGTAAT